TATAACTCTTTTGATGAGTGCTATAGTGAGGGAATACTTTATGGAAAAGGAAGAGTTGATCTGTTCATCAGATTAAATAATCACTAAAAATAACACATGACAACATAGTAGAATAGGGAATACAGTAAGGTTTTTTTTTTCAAAACATTTTTGACCCAATAATTACTTTGTTTTGTCAAAAATGTGTTGTCACAATTTTAACATTTTTCTTACTCTTCTTAAGGTAGGCAAACTCACTTTTCACTCACTGTAAATCGTCTGTATTTTTAACTTAGCTGTGTTCTTCTGTTTTTTGGCTGGAGAGTATTGAACAAGTTTTACCAATAACTTTCACTGTGGGCATTCACTAGAAAAAAAAAGAGTATTCAAAGAATGCAAAAATGGAATCACTTTATACTTGACATGAATGATATTTACCAGACACTGGGCATTTCCAAAATCAAAGGATACTCTTGCAGTGTGATATAGTTAGAAATCATGTTGCTTAACTGTGTAAGAAATCATCCTAGATTTTTGCTGGAAGATAAAATGTCCATGGCAACAGTTTGAATATGGTTTCATTGTAACTACTCTGTGAGATTGGGGCCATGGTGGCTAACTTTGAATATATATTTCATTGGTACATTTCTTTTCATTAAGCTCATGACAAGATTTTTGTTGTTATCCAGTATATTTAAAGTTGTACCTGAAATCATAAAACTTAATGAAAGGATGAATACTACAAAAGTTGGTCACTGTAACCCACATTGCAAACTTCACTGGCTTTGGTTTCAATTTTAAGTATTTAGTTTATTTCTCAATATCTGTTCTGCTAGAATCATTAAACTAGATGACTGTATGTATCTCATTTAGTACAACAAACTTATAACAAAAGATTGTGACTGACCTTCATTTATTACACTTATTAGCTCCAGTTGAGTTTTGTGTGGAGTGCATGACCACATAGGTTTTTTGTATGCTGTGTATGTACTATACTACCTAGGCACATGGTGGTGAAATGCATCTTGATTAGTATTGTACACTTAATGGAAAAGTAGGTCACTATAGCTATTTTTTATGCTTTTCTGACTTTGGTTGAATTTTGTGTTTGATGTTAATATCTTAGGCACTGATTATATTGGACTTGTGAAACTTGCATATTTTAATACTACTTTGTTAGAATTAAAAAAGCTTAATTTGACTGATATTAAATCACCTTTTCATGGCTTAGATTATTATCACATAGGTTTTTAGCATGTGATATGCATACTGTACTACAAGGAATTTTGAAACTTAGTAGGACTACACCCTTAGTTACAAAAATAGGTCTTTGTAACCTATATTTCATGCTTCAGTGACCTTGTTGATATTTTGTGTTTAAGTTGATTTCTGTGGTATTGTTCATGTTAGAGTTGTGAAGTAAAGAATTGGATGCATAAATTTTATCAATATGCCCTTACAACAAAAAGAAAGTCACTATGCCCTACTTTTGAAGCCTGACTAACATTGCTTAAATATTTGTTTTTTGTTCATGATGAGATGCATTATGGCCAAAGCATTCTATCCAACATAGAAGTTCATTTCATACTAGTGCAGTTGAAACTAGGAATAAGCATCTTTATTTTCTGTATGTAATTTATTTAACTTAACATTGGCATATTTTATTTTCTGTATGTAATTTATTTAACTTAACATTGGCATATTTTATTTTCTGTATGTAATTTATTTAACTTAACATTGGTATATTTTATTTTCTGTATGTAATTTATTTAACTTAACATTGGCATATTTTATTTTCTGTATGTAATTTATTTAACTTAACATTGGTATATTTTATTTTCTGTATGTAATTTATTTAACTTAACATTGGTATATTTTATTTTCTGTATGTAATTTATTTAACTTAACATTGGTATATTTTATTTTCTGTATGTAATTTATAAAACTTAACATTGGCATATTTTATTTTCTGTATGCAATTTACACTGCACTAACTCAACATTGACACATTTTATTTTCTGTATGTAATTTTTATAGAATTGACTTTCCTACCATGGCACATTTTATTTTCTTTTTATAATTTATATAACTTAACATTGGCATATTTTATTTTCTGTATGTTATTTATAGTGTACTCAACCTTGGCACATTTTATTTTTCGTATAACTTTTTATTTTAAATTTCTTTATGTACATTGCTTCCTCTGCATGTTCTTTTTTGTTTGTTTATTTTAAAAATTAGATTCTTTTGTCAATTTCACCAAAGAATTAAACATATCTATTTATTTGGGTTTTTTTTGTATTTATGGAAGAGTCTGAATAGATATGATACACTAATGTTTATTATTCTGATAATATGGAAATATTCACTATAAGGGGCTGAAATTTTATTGTGGAATTAACTAGGATTTCTATACAACCAGAATTTTTTTCTTTTCCTTGAAGGCTTTTGCCAAGCAGTATAATGTATATAATTAGTTCTTTCTTTCCACAACCAGAGTAAGAATACTTTTGGGAAACTATTTGTGAGTTGGAATTATTTCCCTAAATCTCATCCTCCACCCAATTAAATGATAGGTCAATAAATACAAATTGTCTGTTTTCCATTAGTGACCAAAAGGCTTGAAATAGGCAGGCAGTTATCAGTGAAATTTGTCTTAAACACCACTTCAGTTACCTCCATTTTCCTAGTGATTATGTGTTATGACCCGCCCACTGTATTACTTTTAAATGGCCTGGTTTTGATCTTCTTGTTTTTTTTTTCTCCAGAAGCCAACAGTAAATGTGTCCCTTCCTGTGTGATTGTCTTCAATCAATCAATGTGACATTATGATGAGTGCAAAAAGCCAGCCATTTATCTTCTGTTGAAACATTAAAGAATATATCTCTTGGATATATCCCTGCATCACAGACCTAAATAAATGCTTGATAAATTGACTGCTTTTAACCTGCTGTGTTGTGGCAGAGAATATTTCCATTGGTAAGTAAACTTTTTTTAAAAAAAAAAATATCTGTATCATTTGTAACCAATTTGTTTAAGTAAATCTTGCATCTGAGTTATCAGAGATACTGAATGGTCTGATTACCATCCATACTTGCTTATAAGTCTAATCAAATTGCAAACAACAAAGATACTGATATGCTGTATAATAATGTGCTGGCAGATCAGGGTCTATGTTGTTTGTTCTACTGACTACTCCTAATGGACTGCACAGACCCAGATCTGTTGATGCATTATGTGATGGCTGATCTTGGTCCATGTAGTTTGTATTTGGATATGACTTATAAGTGAGTACATAAGGTGGTATACTAAAGTGGTATTTTGTATATATTTTGACACCTTTCTTTTCAGGAAAAGAGGGGAATTAACATCTTTCTGTCTGTCTGTCCATCATACTTCCTTCTATGCCATAACTTTAAAGACAGATTAAAGGATGAAACCTGGTCTTCTATAGGTAAAAAATGTGTTTTTGACCTTGATGGAGTCAGAGGTCAATATTTTAACCAAGGTCATGACCCTATTTCAACAATGTGTCCTTTTTGTGACCTCACCATACCACCATGGGGAAAATAATTAAGAGAAAATTCTTGTTAGCTTCCTATTTTGACAAGTACATGTCCCTCTGTCATATAAATTGATTTAGGATTTAGGATTTGTTCTAGAGCTTGTAATTGGGGAGAGAATTTTTCACCTCCATTTGAAGAGAGAATTTTCTGAATATAGGGTGATTTTATGAAGAAATATGGAAAATAGAGATAATGCTCTAAAATATAATGCAGCATATTTTTCTTCTTTAGTGGATTTTTCTGTGCAATTTTTGTAGAGATTGGTGACAGTCATTCAGTCGTGCATCCTAGAATGGATTCTGTGTTATTATCAACTTTTTACTATTGTTTAAATTTATTTAGGCATTGTACATTTTTGTGTAACCCACTTGAGACAAGTTTTTTTTTCAGGTTCATGCACACATACAATCTAGGACCAATGGTGATATTAATCACTGACCTTCTGCTTTTTCTTCAGACTTGCAGCAATCCTTTAATATTAAATTTATTTGCTATGTGCTACATGCAAGTAAGCAAACAGTGCTAATTAGCCACAAGTGTAGTAATTTACAGATCTGACTATTAACAGCCAAGTTTAATCTTGTGTATATTGATGTAGAAGTTACTATATACAGCTCACCCTCTTTATAACGCAGTAGTCAGGGTCCATTACTGCTGACCACATTACATACCAAATAGCATTATAAAGAGCACTAAGAGATATATGAAACAGTGATATAATATATGAAGCAGTGATCTAAAGTAGTGTACTATACAAAACCATGGTATAGCAGGCATTGTTAAATAATGGTATTTTGAAAAAGAATTGAAGATAGTGACTAAATTTCCCCTTGTTTCCTTTCAACCATTATTATGCATTGGTAGGATTTGGGTTATGGGATCCATAGTAGTATGATGTTATATCTGCAATAGTGTTATAACGAGGCACATTACAACAGGGAAGAACTGTATAGACTTTAAAATATGGATGTCATAACTAAATATGGACTTTTTATGGATGTCATAACTAAATAATGACTTTATTTTATGGATGTCATAACTAAATATGGACTTTATTTTATGGATGCAATGTTTCCCATAAGGGTGCAAGACTGAGTCAAATATCCATTTGTTGTCAGAACTGGGGGATCAAATTAAAACTTTGAGGGTCTCTAATGCACAAATGAGCTTCAAGGGAACACTGGGATATCATAATCTGTACATAGGTTTTATTATATCTACATCAGAACTATACAGTATATGAACTTTCTTTTATGGATATCAGATTAATATATGAAGTTTTGTACAGTAGACATCAGAACTATATACGGACTTTAGTATATGGATGTCAGAACTATATATGGACTTTAGTATATTGATGTTAGAACTATATATGAACTTTACTATATAGATGTCAGAACTATATATGTTTTTTAGTATATGGATGTCAGAACTATATATGGACTTTAGTATATGAACTGCTCCGGTGGCCTAGTGGTTAGAGCATCCACCTTGGATGTGAGAAGTCGTGGGTTCGATCCCTGGTTGAGTTATACCAAAAACTTTCAAATATTGTACTAACAGCTGCCTCGCTTGGCGCACAGCATCAAGAGGTTAGTGTTAGGACTGGTTGGCTTGGTGTCAGAATAATGTGACTGGGTGGGACATCATGCTAAATGTCTGCGGCATGATGCCCCAGTGCTAGACATCACTATAAACTTCCACACTATAGAAATGGTAGCAATATGACTGAAAAATTGTTAAAGCTATGTTAAAAATCCAAATCACACACACACAGACACACACTTTAGCATATGGATGTCAGAAATAAATATGGACTTTAGTATATGCATGTTAGGACTATATGGGCTCTGGATGTCAGAACTGTCTGTGGGCGCTATAGTACAGCTAACACCTTGTTTACTAATAGCTTTATTCCCAAGAGTGGTCAGCTAACTCAGAATCATATAACTCAAAATTCTGAGTTTCATTTTCTTTAATTTTCATTACAAAATGCATAATTCAGTTAACTTTAATATCATTCATTTTGGTTATTAATGAATCCTACTATTTTTTTTCAGACAAATAATTTCATTCTTTTTTAAGACTTTACAAAAAGAAATTAAATTCTAAAAAATTCTTATCAAAATGTTTCAACATGGAATTTGCATAAGTTGAAATTATAGAACTCTGTAGATACCTGAACATAGATGTTAGATTTTTTATGTGGACTTGAGTATATGGATATTAGAACTATATACTGAGTTTATTATATTTATATCTGGAATATATATGGACTTTTGGTATATGGATGCCACAACTATGTATGGACTTTAGCATATGTATGTTAGGACTAAATATAGACTTTAGTATATTGATAGTCCACCTCGGATGCAAGAGGTCACAGGATCGAATTCCAACCATATTTTACAGAAGACTTATAAAATGGTACTAATAGCTGCCTTGCTTGATGCTCAGCATTAAGAGGTTAAGAGTTAGGACTAGTCAGCCTGGTGTCAGGATAATTTGACTGGGTGGAACATGATGCTACATGTCTGCTCAGAGATGCCCCAATGCTAGACATCACTATAACTGCCACACTGCAGACTTCATAGGACGTTATATCTGAAAAACAGTTAAAGCTACATTAAAAATCCAAATCACACACATATATGTAAGTATATTGTTATCAGAACTATATATGTATTTTAGTATATGGATGTCAGGTCTATATAATGACTTTAGTATATAGACATCAGGACTATATATGGACTTTAGTATATCAGGACTTTTTAGTATATTGATATCAGGACTATATATGGGCATTAGTGTAAAGGTATTTGGATGTCTGAGCAATTTGCACTCATTTGCTTTTTTTCTATGTACACTTGTATATTATACTACAATCATATTGTATGTAATTTAGGTTGTAAAGAAATTTATAATACATATTACTTTGTACCTGTAAATATTTTTTAAAAATGGTAAGCTTACAAAAATTTGCAAACATCACACTAATATGATTCAAATTGTGGGTATAAAAAAAATCAGATACACCTAACATGATTAACTAAATTGATTTATATTGATTTTCACTAAACTCTGCTATTTATGATATTTCAATTAGGCAGTGATTGACCCTATTGCCACTCCAACCACTTGTCTGCCACATCTAAGAACATATTACCAGTTATTGCTGACATGACCTAATTAATTCTACATACATTATATGCTTAGTTCATGTCTAAGAACATATCAGCAGTTATTTGCTGACATGACCTAACTACACACATTAAATACTTAGTTCATAACATTTTGTTGAGTTATATAGTAATTTTCTACACCAGTGTCTAAAAAAGAGCATTGATGGAATTTTACGAAGTGTTTACTTTAAATTCATTGTTAGAAGCACGTTCATAGATGATAATTTTTTCATTAAATTTTAAGAAATAAAAAAATGTATATGCTCAAGAAGTAAGAAAGATAAAGGTATTCTATGCTTGATTCATATAGGTTAAAGGTGGCTAAGGTATACTACAGAATTGGATTTGTACCATAAAGGTTGTTGTTCAGTACCTGGCAATGATTAATGATCACAAATCAGGAAGGTCAGTGAGTAATGGAGTGCAGCTTCAGTGTGAAGAATGGAGTGGAGCATGACAGTATGTTGAAGAAAGTAACATTTCTTGGAATAAAAGGCATTTTGGTGATGAAAGGAATTGACACAACAAATACTATTCCGGATTTCATCTTTTTGGAAGCAGAAAAAGGCAATCCACATTAATGCATTTATCGTACCATCTATACTCGCTCATAATTCAAATCCAACTGCAAACAGCACAGATCCAGATCTGCTGTCGCATAATCTCTAGGTTTGTTCATTTTTTATGAGTAATTGGTAGAACAAACAAAACAGACCCTGAATTGCAGGCACATTATTCATTGGCAGACAGGCTCTATTTTGTTTGCAGTTTGACTCATAAGCTATTGATTGTTGTTATTGGGTTAAATACTATTTTCCAGCACAAGATAGGCTATAGATGGTGGCCAGTATAAATGATGGAGGAAGAACCTGTGAAACAAAAATGGAAAGAACCACCCACCTACCCACAAGTAGATACTGACAAGCTTAATCACATACCGAAATTGGCTAAGCCTGAGACTCAATCCCACACAGAGGTGAGATGATAGTGATCCATAACAGTGAGTCCTTTAGACCACTTGACCACTTGGGGCTTCCATCTAATAAGTATTTATGACTGAACAAAGTAAAAAGTGAAAATTAACTGGATAAAAATACAGGGTAATATGGTTTTAAGGAAATGTTTTTGTCATCTGGAGAGATACAGAGGGAGGTCTCTAAAAGGATAGCAGGAAGTGCCTAGAAGGGGAGTAAGAAGGGCTAACAGTTAGAAATGTAAGGTCATACACCTGTTTGTTTTTTTTATCTTCGGCATTGGAGTCCAGAATTTATTTATTTGTTATTTATGTCACAAATTTTGTCTCACCATTCAAGATAGACCCTTTAACTTTTATAAATAATTGGGGTGATCTGCAGATGTGCACACATTTCAAAATTGTATCTTTCCTTGTGGTTAGGTTTAGGATTGGTTTTGCTTAAAATAAATTTTTTTTGTCACATGTCTTTGAATAGAGCAGGTTAAAAATTCACCTTTGCTATAATTTGATGTCATTTTCACACAAAACCTGTTATGCACCACCATATTGATTTTTTAAAAAAGAACAAAATGTGAAGATTACACTAAAGTTTCATACTGTCTTATTGTGTTGATGTGCTTTTATCAGTGTGTACAAAATAACACTCAAAGATAAAACAATAACCAGATTTTGTTGATAAATAAAGACTTGTTTTGTAATCTTTATATCCTATAATTTGGGGAAGTTAGTGATTCATTGACTAAGTTTTTTGGTTTAAGACAATGCCTGTATGGGCTATATTTAGGCATGAGGTCATTAATATATTGTATAACATCTCCCCACCCCAATTTGTAACCTGCCCTATTGGTACATGTAATCACTAACCCAAGTGTCAATATGTAACATATGGGGACTGAATTAGTAAAAATTAGTTTGCATGATGCTGACCTGAATGTCAATATGTAACAGATGGGGCTTAAATGTATGAATAATGCAGTGCCATTTGAAGGCATAGGCACAAGAGGCATGTGCCTAGGGCCCAGCAGGGTGGAGGGCCCCTACACAGTGGAGGGCCCCGCACAGTGGGATGGCCTGCAGTGGCAGAAAACAAAATTTTGGTGTCAGTTGTGTTGGCAGTTTAGTACTGTATTAATAAATTTAATAAAATGACATGTGCACATGAAAATGCAAAGCAATACTATGTATCTGAGACAGAGATTGAGGTGCAATTCTGGTTACCTTTAAGGTTAGAGTTTGTTTTTAGGGCCCCCAAACATCTTAAAACGACACTGGAATATTGGTATGTGTGATCAATAACCTGAGTATCAAAATGTAACAGACAGGGTTTGAATGAGACCTCAGGATCATTCTATGGAGGTACCTAGGTGTCACCCCTGGGTGTTGCCCTTAGGTGTGGTCTCTGGATCATGACTTGAAAATTATTGAGATATCAATTCAATATAAACTTTGTGGGCATGAAAAGAAAATTGTCTATCCCTTTGAGGGACTTAAAGCCATAAGGGCTAAGATTTAGGGGTGAATGGACCTAACATGCATGTTTTATGGGTACTGGATATAACGCTTACAAGTTTCGTCAAAATGAAAACAACAAAGACCCTCATCTGCCATAAAATAAAGCACTTGCAGATTAGAGTCTGTGTATCAGGTTTTACTGATTACTCATTAAAGACTGCACAGACCAAGATTTACCAGCGCATTATGCAATGGCAGATCTGGATCTGTGCAATTTGCAGATGGACTGATAAGTTAGTACAAACAGGATTGCTTTAAACAGTCAAGTTTGTTTACAATAATGATGTTTTAAATTCTGTCATTAAACAATAAAAGAAGATTAAATAAATTTACTAATGGTTCATTGGAAAGGCATATTGTTTTACATCAATCAAGCTGGTTTTAAAACACCAGCCAGAAAGCCCCAGATTAATTCTAAAATATTAAGTGTTGAGCTTCCTTTTGGCCTTCACGGCAGAAATTATGAACAATTTTGAACAAGCATATCTGATATGTATACATGTGTTATTATTAAGGGTTTGAACATTTTCCACTTGCCAAATGGTGTTGATGTGGTGACTGAAGAAGTTTATCTTTTCAAAGTGCTTGTTGTTTCAATGAGTGGCAGGCATTTCAAGTAGAATTGTTACCATGTACTTAATTGATGTACAGTGTATTGACAAGTAATTAAGTTGAAGTTCACTTGCCTAGCAACCAAGTAACCAACTGAAATTTTACCTGAGCCATATATTTTAATCTTCTCAGATAAATTATAAATGATTCAATATCCAAATATGCTGATCATTTTGCCTAATTTTATTTGCTGAAACTGCATAAATGATTTTTTTCCCAGATTTGTACAGTGTCAGGTGCTGCAAGTTCAGCATGCCCATCATAGGGCAGTATGTTATGATGACTTTTTTCATTTGCATATTATTACTTGTGTTATCCATCATACATGGTTACCAAACTTTGTGTTATCCATCATACACAGTTGCCAAACTTTGTGAAAACCTTGCAGTTGGTGTTAAGGAGTTTATCAATTTTTAGGTAAAAAAGTCAAAGGTCAATGTCACTGTAACTCAACAAAGAAAATTGATTCTGTAGATACACATTACAGACTTGTACCAAACTTTATTGGTGACTTGCTCTTTGAGTAACAAAAAAAAACCCATTGATTTTGGGACCAAAAATTCAAAAGTTGAGATTTGTGTGACTGAAGGAACCAAAGTGGTTTCTGCATCATAACTTAAGTTTTTTTACAGACCAAGAAAACACTTTGTGAATAGCTTGGCTTAAGGAAGAAGCCTATTGATTTGGAAGTAAAAAGGTCAAATGTCAGGGTCACTTTGACTGAAGGAAGAAAATAGTTTGTACACACTAAGGTTAGCCATAGACTGATACCAAACTTTGTGGATAGCTTGGCTTAGGAAGAAGCCTTTTGATTTGGAAGTAAAAAGGTCAAAGGTCAGGGTCACTTTGACTGAAGGAAGAAAATAGTTTGTACACACTAAGGTTAGCCATAGACTGATACCAAACTTTGTGGATAGCTTGGCTTAGGAAGAAGCCTTTTGATTTGGAAGTAAAAAGGTCAAAGGTCAGGGTCACTTTGACTGAAGGAAGAAAATAGTTTGTACACACTGACCTTAGTCATAGACTGAGACCAAATTTTTGGGATAGTTTACACTAAGAGTCAGGAAAAAGCCTGTTGATTCTGGGAGTGAAAAGGTCAAAGGTCAATGTTTGAAAGAAGAAAAATGGTTCTTTGTAAATATGTAAGTTCTTGACCTTGTACTGTCACCAATGTTTGTGAAAAATGTTCATGTTGGATAAGATAAAACTTTTTGATTTGGGGATCAAAAGGTCAATGGCCATTGTCTCTGTGACTGAAAGAATTTTTGCATAAGACCTTTTGTTCTAGACAACGTACATGTAACATGATCTAAGTCTGGAGGGCTTTTTCTTAGGGTAATAAAAAAACATTTAGATTCTGAGCAATATTGGTAATAGGTCATTCATGGTAAGTCTGATAAGAAAATGAATGGTTTAGTTCAAGATACATGCCTTGACCAAAAGTCATGTTATGTAGACCTGTTGGTCAATCACCTTTAAGTAGTTGACATAATGTATGCATTAAATTAACACAGTTTTAAGTTTTGATTGTTACATTATTTGGAAGGAGAGTAAATTTTGCAAGCCAAAGATTTGGTATCAAATAGTATTATATTTATTCCACCTGCTGTATATACTACTCACTGAGTCCAACTGCAGACTGCATAGACCCAGATATGCCATCACATAATGCATAGACAGATCTAAGTCTGTGCAGTTTGTTAGCAGTAATCAGTAAAACAAACAGAATAGACCCTGACCTACAGCCGCATTATGCTGGAGCAGATCTGGATCTTTGTTGTTTGTAGTTTAATTTGACTTATAAGTGAGTACATAAAAGATGTATTGGCACTCCTGAGGTATCATGTAGTACAACCAGTTTCAATAGTCCTTACAAATCCTGGGCAATTATGTTATCTTAGTCCAAATCTGAGTCTGAGAATTACAGCATATTAAAATGCCACAGCTATAACAGTATACCAAATGTAATATCATAACTAAAAGATTTGAATTGAAAGGTAAGTAATTAATACAAATTACACAAAGCCAACTGACATTGTTTATGTCTAACTGGAAAATAGAATGTTTTAGTATCCCTGAAAACCTGAGTACAGGAAAATTTTGATTTTATGTTCATCAGTGGCTCATACTGTTAAAATGTTCTCTACAATGGCAATTTACCATGAATACAGTTATAATATCACAGCACTGGCAGGTGAAAAATAGTTGTTTCTGTATTTCAACAATATCATATCAAACTCTTGATTCTTTTTCTTAGATATTATGTACAAGTGAAGTATTGGTTGTTTGCACCATTTCAAAAACAGCTATAATAAAGACCAAAGTATATTTTCCTAATTTAATTATCACTTTTAACACTTTGTTCAGAGCACCAGTCTATAAGGACAAATATTTGGTTCACTGAGACATCTTTGCCTCTTTAAATACAGAAATTCACTGTATCATGATATTTAATGTGGAAAATGTATTTGCTGTATTTTAATGTACTGTATATTCTTGCTTGTAAGTTAAGTTAAAAGCAACACAGATCCTGATCTACCATAACATAATGTGCATGCAGATCAGGGTCTTTCTTGTTTGTTCTGCTGCTTGCTGTTATCAAAGTGCACTGATCCAGATCTGTCATTGCATTATATGACAGCAAATCTGGGTCTATGCAGTTTGCATTTGAGTTGACTCCTGGGTGAGTTTATATGGTTTATATCTATACAAAGTCCAAAAAGATGTTTGACTGTACTAAGCTGTAATTAAGAACCTGGAAGTTGTCTTTGCATACAACCTTTACAGGTTTGGAAATTTAGACAAGGCCTAATGCTGGGAATTTAGATAAGGCCTAATGATGGGAATTTAGACAAGGCCTAGTGCACTTTCCTGTGTGTCATTAGAGCAGTCAATGAAGGTAGAAAGCTAGGGTTACAATGGTGTGTATGCAGGAATTGTATTTGAATGAGTGCTGGTTCAAATCCTATTGGCAATCAACATGGATTAGCTTCCATGTTCAAGGCGATTTATTCCACTTTCCTTAGCAGTAAATTGCCTATCTGTGTTGCTGTGTCATAAAACACCAAATCAAATCTAATTCTTTGCATACCGAAAAGGCATTGACCATATCTTTTTTAGCTAGATGATGCCCATGTATACTGTATGTGCTAAATTATAAAAACTGCAAAAATAAAGATCCTGATCTGCTTTAGCATAATACATTTACATTTCATGGTCTGTGCTGTTTATACCATTAACTACTCCTAAAAGCTGTACTGACCCAGATCTGCTGGTGCATTATGCAATGGAAGATATGGGTTTGCCCAGTTTGCAGTTGGACTAATCTTGTTAGTGAGCACATATGGTAAGCTCTGGATAAAAAGCATATATGATTATTTTTTAAGTTGGTAAAGGATATATGTCTTTTTATGTTTATTACAATTTTGTTATTTCAGCTTATTAACCAAATTTTAAAACAGATAAGAGATTGCTTTGGTGGTATAGTGGTTAGAGCATTTGTCTCAGAAGCAGGTGGTGGCAGGTTCAAACCCCAGCCAAGTCATACCAAAAACTTATAAAAATGGTACTGACAGCTGCCTTGGTAGGCTCTCAGAATTAAGAGGATAGTGTTAGGACTAGTTGGCCTGGTGTCAGGATAATGTGACTGGGTGGGACATCATGCTGCATGTCTGTGGCATGATGCCCCAATGCTAGACATCACTATAAACTGCCACACTGCAGACATTGTAGCGATATGACTGAAAAATTGTTTAGACTATGTTTAAATCCAAATCACATGCACACACACACACACACACACACACACACACACACACACACACACACAAAATATGTAAGACATAAAATTGGTTGATTGAAGAAAGAAGTGATAGCAGAAGAAGAAAGGTAATACCAACAGTAGGTATAGTGAATATCTGTATTAACATAATTGAAAAATAATAATCATATTTGGATCTTTTTGTAGCAGTATGCTGATTGATAAAGTTTAAATGTTGATTATTCACAGTTATTTTGTGTTAGAATAATAACAGAATCAGTATAGTGTTTTGAAATGAGTTTGTTATGCTTGCATGATAAATAAATAAGGACAAAGTTACAAGAAAAAAGGATTTGGTGTTGAAAAAACTTAACATGGATTTAAGTCTGCCTCAGAGCCTTGGAGAAAAAAAAGAAAGAAAAAAAGAAAAGAAACTGAAAATGTAAGCATAAGATTTTTGAATATAATGATGATCATTGTTGACTGATAATGAAGACAATCCAAATTATTCAACTGCAGTAGTCTGGAAAGCCATGAAAAGGGAAGTTATGTAATTCATCACTATGACAATGTGGAATCAGATCAGGTTCTATTCTCCAAACTTTGAGGAAACAATTCAAGCGCAAGCCCATAAACAATTCAAGTGCAAGCCCATAATCTATTGCTTTAATTAGAAAGAAGCAACAATCACAGAACTTTCATTTCTTTTTTGTTGATGATGGTGGCCATCTTGAAAATCATATTACGTGTATTTCTATTTCTTATCATGGATGGTCATATTGACATGAGACTTTCACTAAATTAGTTTTTACAGTGTCTATTGGCCCTAAATTAAATTTGTTGTTGTTGTAACACCATTTTTCAGCACAAGATATGCTATACATGGCAGCAAGTATAACTAGTGGAGGAAGAACCCTGGAAAACCCTGGGAAAAACCACTGACCCACAAGAAGTTACTGGCAAGCTTTCTCACATACCAATATTAGCTGAGCTAGAGACTCGAACCCACACAGACAGAGGTGAGTGATCTGGAATGGTGAGTGTTTTAGACCACTCGGCCATTTGCCTAAATTAAATTGGAGTCAATCTTAGATCCAATATGGCTACAACAATGATAATGTTGAAAATATTGTTATCACTTTTCTTCCTGGATTGATGGTTTTCACTAAAAGGCATCTTATTTAACCTGTGTATTTAGCTGGTTTAAAGTTGTCCTCCCTTAGGCAGCAAGGAAAGCTTCTTGTCATGTCTAGCAGATTCTAAATGAAAATGGGAAAAATTTTGTGCTTGTTATTTTGCAGGAATGGATTGTTGTAGTGACATTGTACATTTTGTTTTCACCACAAGACAATTTATGATATATAGTTGGTCCTAGATGAAATTAGTGACTTTGAAGTGGATGATGAAATGGACAATGGAGCTACCACAATAGCCATATTTAAAGTCTTCAGTGCTTCTTCTGAACAGATGGCAATGTACACATGATGGTTTTATTGAAAGGCTTTTTATGAATTTGTACTTAGTTTCATTCACTCTAAAACTGAAGTAAGGTCAGAGGTCTTGACCTGTTTTTTTGGCTGTACTGGCTTTGTCAACATTTTAATGCAAGGTTATGGATATATCTGATGAACACTTTGAATGATGCAGCTTTAATAACTCAAGTATGTTTTAGAGTTTTATAAATTTGTTTATAGAGTAACATAACTTAGAATGTGGATATATACTGACATTGTCTTAAAGAGGTGATTTGGTTCTAGGTCAAATTCCATATAATTCTGAACTGCACTTTCAGTTATCTTGTGAACATGTCAACTCCATGGCCAATTACATTATTTGCTCCAATTAGGAATTGGAGATCTAGAATTAACACATGATCTCAGTCTGATAATCTTTGTCCAGCTCTAATATTTGGAATGTCATCCTTCTTTTTCTCAGACTCAATGCATTTATATACAATTCTCTTGGGTGCTCAATGGTTAGTCAGTTAGGTCGTATTGCTTGGTATTTCTAGTATCAGTCGTATCTTTTTTGTGTTGTATTTGTTTTGTTTTTAGGGCCGGCCCTAAACAGCGAGCTCTGCCTTCGCGCTAGAAGAGCTTGAATTAAAACAAGATTTCACTCATTGTAGACGAGTTCCATGAACAGAGACTCTCCTTTGAAGGCTTCATCACCTAACTGATCATTACCAGGTCACAAGTATCCAGGAAATGGTCACAGTTAAATGTGTCTTGTGATAGTAATAGAAGTCACTGGGCGTTGGACACTACGTACCAGTGACCCATGTGAAATCCGAAGTGACAATCATGGAGTTCTTGTCACCGGACGCCAGATAGCGAGCACCGGCTAACAAATACTGATCAAATGCATGATGTATGGTGCCGATATTCCATTTTCGGTCTCAAAGACGATATCGGGGGACCAGGTGCCAGTTACTGATCACGGAGCATTGGGCTTAGAACACCAATTCACATACGCTGGGCATCGGATTGTCTTTGGACCGAGTACCGTGTTTTGACCACCAGTGTATAAGAAGGGATTAGCTCCATAACCCCAATCTTTTGTTAACATTCAGTTCCTATGATGAATGGAATAGTTTTGAGGACCAGCCTGAAAGAAGCGATGAGATCAATTCTCCTTCCTTTTTGATGTTCTCCATGCATCATCTATAGCGCTTTAGGACATCCAACACACATTATTTAGTCAAATATGACTCAGGTTCGGACAATGCCACCATGGAAGACTTGGCCGTGGTTCATAGGATCGGCAGACCAGTCACGTCCCGGATCTTTCCATCTCCTTTGGCCATGTTTTGATGGAAGGGTCGAGGACAGTCGCTCGCCATATCCAGTCCCTAGAGGGAATCGTCAATCTATTGCTCCAAAAGGATAGGATCACCTCCTCGCACGAGTAGAAAGGAAACGGCAAATTCTTAGTCAGGAAGTCCATTCCCATGAGAGGGATGAGGAGAAATAGTTCTTCCTTGCCCAGACAGCAAGACAATCTGTCGGTTTTTATGAGAGCAGACAATTTTCCTGAAGAAGCTGTCACACCTGGTCCTTGTCATTTGTTGGGTTCGCCATTTCCGTCCCACCTCAGGTGATGTGGGAGGAAGAGGTGTGGACCTTAGCCTGTATCCGATACCTTTAGGTTTATAGAAGGCTAGGATCCCTTCCAGTTTAGTAAGACTCTCAGGTGTTCAGCCTAAGTCTTTTACCCCCTAGCTCAGCGATGGTTATGGATCAATCTCGGATATTATCCAAAGGCCAAAAGGGGTCTAACAGCAAAAACGATGGTCTGTTCCCTCTTCTGCATTTCGATCCCTGGCTTCGATAACTACTGGTTTTTCCTTGTGCTTTCTCTGAAGATCAAATGGTTAGAGCAGTTCTTAACTTTTATTAATTTTTATTAAAACTTTAAATAAATAAAGTTAAATCACACTGTATCAAATTTCATTTGAGGTTCTTACTTTTGGAGTCCTGCAAGTTTTGTTAATGAAATCAGTTTAACGACCAATATGAAAGTAACAAATAAGTTCCATTCTTCATACCTGACACAAATCTGATGAACCAAACAGTTTTCTTCAATAATAAACTAAAAATACATTTTATTGTACTGTGTCTCAAGTTTCAAGATTCTTCAATTGGTTGTTGTTGTTTTGAGTTTAACGCCATTTCTCAGCGCAAGATACGCTATCCATGGTGGCCAGCATAACTGGTGAAGTAAGAACTCTGGAAAACCCCGGTAAGAAGCAACTGGCAGCTTTGTCACATACCCACAGTGATCGAACCCGAGACTTGGACCCACGTGGCCAGATATCAGATGGCAGTGTTGTGTTGGAACTGTTTATTATTTTCTTGTCGACGTAGATAAATAATGCAACTCTGTACTGTGAAAAAAAAAACAAACAAAAGGATTATATTGATATAAAAGCGTACTAATTTTTTTAAGGGATGGATAAATACACAAATATTTGTTTACGTTTTTTTTCTGTAATATTTTCATAAAACGTACAATTTTCATCTAAAATAAGAGTCCAGGACTTCGGTGACCAAAATTACACAGACTTTAAGAAACAGTGTGTCGCTAGTTCATGGTGTCCATCACGATTAGCAAGCAGCCTGTATAAAATGTGTATGACTCGAATGTAGCTTTTACGGACATTAAATGTTAGTCCTATGGAAAGATACTTTTCAAAATCTAATATTGTTATATACATTTCATAATACCTAATTTTTAAAATGGTAATTTTTTCAGATCAATTATGATTACTTCAGTTCTGCACTCTTTCAAAAAAAATGTTGTCACAAGTATACTGACACGTCTGATGGCTATCGAGATCCTGACAAAGTAAAAACCGTAGCTAAATGATCTAATTCTCATAGTTGATGCTCATCGTCATTTAATGATTTATTCATTTAGATACATTCTCCTGACTATCTGCTTTTGCCCAATACGTAAAAAAGTACCTAAAGTTAATTCGGTAATATAAAATATAGACCCAATGAATCTGATACTTGGTTTCATTTTTCAAAACACCCTAGGCCCAGTAGCGTACTATGGGTAAATGGTGCCAGGGGCAACTAGGAAGGCCCAAAGGAGTTTTGGCACTCCAGGATCTCTGGCGCGCGTGGTTCTAGCTCCCCAAGACCTCTGGCGCTCGGGGCAACCTCCCCACCCCCTAAGTACGCTACTGCCTAGGCCTGACGATAATTCGATGCGGTCATATGTAAAGTCAGGTCAATGTTTTGCCCTATGCATCAAATGTTGTCTGAGTACTAGACAAG